CCGGGATATTGTTGTGTCGAATGCAGTTGCAAAAAATGCATATTACCCAAAAAATTCAAATGAAACCCCTATTTTCTTCTATTCAGATCGATTTAGTGACAAAAATTAAGGCAAGTTTATACAAAGGTTTATGAGGCTAAACGTAACAGTTTCATAGTTATTTTCAATAAACTACCAATTTTTTATTACTTATTTATTATTTCTTCAATTTTTAATTACAATAAATGTTGAAAATGTTGTCCGTTAGATGCAAGGCACTGTTGAACACGCATTGTAACAGCTCCATTTGTAGCTCTTTGAATCTCTTCAGGGGAAAGAGAGTTAAAGTCATTTCGCACCCTTGCTTGGTCGTTAATGGTGTAGCATAAATAAGATCTTTAATTCGACCCCAAAGATAAAAATCCATGGGCGTAAGGTTAGGTGATCTAGGCGGCCATTGAAAGGGACCGTTATTGGCAAACCAACAATCTTCAACCATCTTGTTGGTACCATAAAATGTCCCGCTCTACATTATTTATTCTGGGTTCAATTCCAGTATTTAAAATTTCAAGATAAATTTTCCCTAGAAGCTAAATACAGACATACAGTAATTATAAAATGCATAAGTCAACTATTAACTATTAACCTCTCAATTTTTCGTTGTAAAAATAGACGTGAAAAATTTCATTATTACGAAGAGCACTAAACACATTAAAGTTCCAAATGTCTTGAAAATGACATTTTCGAATGTGATTGCTATTGTCGTTATTCCAGTAATGCAAGTTTCGTCTATTAAACATGCCATTTTTAGTAAATTTAAATTCGTCCGTCCATATAACATTACACAAAAAATTTGGGATTTCTTGTATTTTTAGTAAAATAGTCTCACAGAAAGAAATGCGTTTCATGAAATCGGCATCTTTCAAAAGTTGAACTAGTTGCAAACAGTATGGCCTAAATTTATGTTTTTTAAGAATCGTCCTGATGGTTGCTGGTGTCAAACCAATCCCAATTTTCGTGTCGTTTATGGAATTATAAGGATATGCACGGAAATACACTAAAGTGGTTATTTCATTTGGCTCGTTATCAACAGCAGTTTTTCTTCTGGATGCAGAGTATTTAAATGTGCCAAACTGTTCCAAATTTTGAACCAGACGTCTTACAGTATCCGCTGATGGTCGGAGACGCTCTGGATAGCGTTAGATACAAGTTCTTACTGTTCGCACTACAATTATATGACATTCTCCGTGAATTAGTATTAAATTTAAATAATCTTGATTAGGAAATCCAAGTCGAGCCATTGCGTCAGATTAACACAAATTTATAAAAAAATTACTGAAACTGACAGCTTTGGATGACAACGGCCACTCCTGATGTATGTATGTAATCGTGTTTTTTAGCTCAGATATAAAAAGTCGTAGTTTATTGAAAATTACTATGAAACTGTTACGTTAAACCTTTTTATAAACTTGCCTTAATTTTTGTCACTTAATCGATCTGAATAGAAAAAAATAGGCGTTTCCATTTGAATTTTTTGGGTAATATGCTTTTTTTGACAGTCAAGTTTAATTTTTCATAACTTCTTTTTTATAAGAGATGCAAAACTAATTTTTTTCACATGGAGACATGGCACCTTTGGCTACAACAACCTAAAGTTATATTCAAATTGATTGACCTAAATAGACGGACCAACGAATTATTTCCAAGCCTGCCCCTGTCAATTTTTTTGAAAAAATGGATATTATTCCACAACGGTTGAAATTTCGTACCCAGTTCATTTAACAAAATGACCCAAAAATCCGACCGAGAATCCAAAAAATGTAATAATATACAGGGTGTTCCATTAAAAATAAGCGATTAAGTACCTACTTCCGGTATAACCGGAAGTGGTACCGCCTTGAAAATATTTTAGGTGAGTTAGCCTCAACATCGTTACCTTGTATTGGAATTTTCAGAACTCTGGTAAATTTGGTTTGGCGAATACTTCTAGTGTAAGCTCCCAAAGGCGGACCCTGTATTTTCCGCTGTTGTGGGGGTGATATTGAAATACTATTTATTTAAAAAAATATATATTTCTATTCAGTCAACGTAAGTGTGGAGAAAAAGGTTTGCTGTTGGAAACTTGAGGAGGTTAGCTTCACCACTTAGGCCGGGGCCGGCTTAAAAGTGATTTTGAATGATAATGTAAATGAAACCACGTTTCTTCCGAAAAGCAGATAAAAAATACTTAACTTTAGCGCAATTTTGAAAAAAGGATATAATTTAAGACTACTTGTAGCCTATTTCTAGGATATACCTGACAGTATAATACGAGACTCGCTGCGTATAAGGCTACTCATTAAGTACTCGAGTTGAAATATACTTGGCATGCACTTGTCCGAGTCCAAGTAAATTGTACACTGTGCCTACTTGAAAGTTTCAGTTGTATTTGGGGAAGTGCAAGTATAAAGATGAGTACTTGAAAATGGACGAGAATTTTGTACTTCGCAAATACTTATGAGCCGCGTTGTGAGTAGCCGGCTTAATACAGCGTTCGTCAATTGTCGAGCACAGATAAAGACAAGTAGTCGAGTGCTTCAGAAAATTCAGGAGTTGGGGCTCCCCATACTGAATTTTCATCTAAGCGCCGGCTGATTGGGTGATAGCTCAAACATTAAGGCGTGTAGCTATTGTTGACCAACTCTCAGTCGTCCTGTCCTGACTTTGATTCATGTGCTTTTCGTTTTGGTGTCTACTTAAACATCGTTTATTTTTGTACCTTAAATGGCATTTGTCACATGCATGCGGACGTTCGTCTGAGTGGCATTTCAAATGGCTCAATAAATTCGATTTAAAAGCAAACGTTTTCTTGCAAATCTTACAATTATACTGCTTTTCCTTCGTATGCAAATTTTGATGAGCTTGTAAAGCCGGTTTTGTTTTAAAACTGGCTTTGCAAAACGAGCATTCAAAAGGACGTTGATCTGAATGGACGACCATGTGTCTCTCTAAATCTCGTAACAAGAAAAACATCTTATGACAATCTCTACAACGATAATGTTTTTCTTTCGAATGCGTATTTCGGTGGCGTTTTAGTTCATATGCTCTCTTAAACCTCGAACTGCAAAATTCACATGCATGAGGGCGGTCATCCGAATGAACCAATAAATGACTCCTTAAATCTGAAGCATAATTAAACTGTTTTCGGCAAAACTGGCAGTCGTGCTGTTCTTGCTGCAAATGTTCATTTTTATGCTGAGCTAAATTATCTTCCGTCTTGAATGTTTTATTGCAAATTTCGCACACGCTGGACTTCGTGGAATGAGTTAACAAATTATCGTTTAGCTGCACTAAATCACTGCACCCTTCAGCGCAAATTTTAGTTCCCTTCAATGTATTCAGACGCTCGCCGTTGGATGTGTGATTATTATCTGCTTCCAATCGTCCCAAGTTTTCGAATTCAGGCAGATGATGTTCTTCGATAGTAATTTCTTCTTTTACTTCAATGTACGACTGATCGTGCAATCTAAAATAAGAAATAATTTCATTAAAATATACTTAAAAGGACAACTAAACGGAAACACTTTGAACCGATTGAGCGCAAAAACACGCATGTGAAATTTTTATTTTTTGGCGAAAATTTTGCGCGTGCGGGCGAATTTTTGAAAAATATAATTTTTTCCAAAATGCCTTGAAATCTACATCATTCCGAGCTCAAGGAAGCGAGGAAAGCAACGAACTAGGTCGGTGAAAAATACGCCAGAAGTTTCAGTTCCGAAATAATTGATATTTCGGTCCATTATTTCTTTAACCGACGATTTGTTCCGTATTATTGCTCCAAGCACTTCATAAATGTACTTTTGTAAGCTTTGTGTGTGAGCTAATCAATTGAGCGCAAAACACACTTATGTGAAATTTAGATTTTTGCCGAAAATGGTCTAAGTTTTGGCAAAAATATGTTTTCAATGTCTTGAAATCTACATCATTGTCACCTCAAGGAAGCGAGGAAAGCAACGAACAACGATATTTTCGGTACATTTTACGCGTGTTTTGAGCATTCACGACTTTTAACCAACTATTTCTCTTATTATGGATCCAACTACTTTATAAATGCACTTTTGTGAGCTTCTTAAGGTTATAAAGGATTTACCGAACATGTCAAAATCATCATCGCTTAATCGTTGGACAAGAATTACATTTGGTAAGGGTCAAATTTGTATGATTTTATAATAAAACAACCTTTATTTAAAATAATACACATCAATTCCTTAATTTATATATAGAAAAAGGTATAGTTACATAAATTAGGACAAAGTGCACTAAGACAAAGACAAGTCGCAATAATAATCTCGAAAAATGATGAAATCAAAACTATCATTCTGATAATGACAAGTCACAACATTAGCAAGGCAGATATTTCAATGGATGAGGGCTTCAGAAAACGCAGGAGCCGAGGCTCCCCATACTAAATCTTCCTCTAATGCGCATGGCCTCATCTCAGACTGAGTGTTACCCAGGCCTAGTCTGAATGATATTTGAAATGCATAGATAAATTCCACGAATTTTGAAACGTTTTCTTGCAAATATTACAACTAAACTACTGTTTCTTTGTGTGCAAATTTCGGTTAACTTTAAATTCTTGTTTTCTTCTGAACCTGACTTTCCAAACATCGCCTTCAAAGGAGCGCTGATGTGAATTAATCTTCTCATGAGAATGCAATGATTTGTTTTGGCATGTATGCGTATTGCGGTGAATGTTTAGGTCACTTGCTCTTTTAAATTTGGAACTGCATAAATCACAAGCATGAGGGCGATCATTCGAACAGATTACTAAATGTTTACGTAAATCTGAAGCGCATATAAACGGTTGTCGGCAAATCTTGCAGTTGTACTGCCTTTCTTCCAAATGCTTATTTTGATGTCGAACTAAATTGCAGTTCCTTTTGAATATTTTATTGCAAGTCTTGCATGCATGGATTTCCTGGGAATGACTAGCCAAATGTTCGTTTAGTTGTAGTAAATCTCTGCAAGGTGCGGAGCAAATCTTACAACGCACCACATTTCCCTTAAATGTAATCAGATGCTTGACGTCGAGTGTGGGACGATCATCCGCCACCAATCCTAAATTCTCGTATTCAGATGATTCAGACAGATGATGCTCATCAATTGTGATTTCCTCTTTTACTTTAATGTACAATTCATCGTGCAATCTACAAACAGAAACCATTCTTTTAAAATATAAAACAGACGACGATTCCGTATGTTGCTATCTAAGTACTTAAAACTAAATGGGTGCTTGTGCTGCGTTTTTGGTTTCTATGATCTGGTAGATTTTGCCTTTTAGTCGTGGGACAGTATGTAAGAATGTAAAGCTCGATAATGAAGAACTTTTTATTAGAAAAATGCTCCTTTCTTTGTACGCTATTTATAAGTATTAACGAAAATCTGAAAGTAGTAGTGTAAACGTTGCATTATCTAGTGCATGTGTGTCTAATCATACATTTTGAGCATTTAGCTCATTCTAGAACGCCATAATCACATGCATGCGGGCGACCGTATGAATGATATTTCGAATCACAATGTAAACGGTAGATAGTAAACGTATACAGGGAGATTCGGAATGAATACGTCATTACTATTACATTGCCATAACTATGACATCTAGAATCTGCGGTTATACTTAATAAGTACATACATATCAAATATACAAATCATGTTGATACATGAAGGCATTTAACCGAACATGCCTTAGTAAATTATGTCTCCATTGGGGATATTGGAAGTACAAGGGGCGCTAAATTGCATATTTCAATTTCAGGAGAATTCCATAATTTCCACAATTTCAATCGGAATTAAAAAAAAGGAAAACTGGGTATGGTCGTACACTGGTATTAACTGGCAGACAACAAGAAATAAAAAATTCAGGTCATATGTATCTTAATACTTCCTCGTTTATAATTATATGCTGAATCGGATTTAGAAATAAAAAAAATTCGGGTTTCCCCCCAGCAATTACACAACATTTGTATAAAACATTTTCTTGTATTCGTTATTGACTGGTTCTTTTAAAATTAGCAACCCTGTATATAAGAACATCAAAGTCTCAATTCTTGTCCGAGTAGAGCTTTTGTTAGTGCGCCTTAAATAAAACATAAAACTTAAGTATTTCGTCGCGCCACATTTAACATTTTGCTACTTTCCACAGAGATAACATGCGGTTTGCGTTATCTACACAATGACTATCGGTGGCCAATTGATGGTTTTGCTTAAATTTTACATAGCATTGTCTGAATGGGTCTTCAGATGTTCATTTGCAGTTGTTACATATGAAAAAACTTTACTGCAGATTTTGCACTGAAATCGTTTGTGCCTCGTATGCTCACGTTGGTGAGAATTCAAATCGGTCACGCTTTTGAATCTTAAATTGCAAAAATTGCATGCATAATTGAGCTCGTCTGAATGCGACTTCAAATAATGCTCATGTAAACCTTTGCAATAGACAAAACGTTTCTTACAAAATTTACAGTTGTGCTCTTTATCTTTCATATGATTATTGCAATGATTGGCCAAAGTAGTAGTCAGTTTAAAGCTCAATCCGCAAATGTCGCACTCAAAGGGTCGATCTTCCAAATGTGTCATCATATGATCATTTAACTTTCGCACCCTTGCAAATGTTTCATTGCATTTGTTACATTTGTAATATTCCTTGTTTCGAGGTTTCTTTAAACTATCTATAAAATCCACGGCATTCGTCTCCGTTTTGATCTTATCACACAATCCGTGTTCGTCGATCGTAATCTCTTCCTTCACGACAGCACTAAATCTTTGCATCATTTTAATTGAACATCTAAAACAGAAGTGCCATCAGCTCAAGGTATTTACTTGTCGAGTGCTTTTGGAGAAATACTATAACCAATAAGTTTTAATAATAAGGAGCTAATTTGTTATTAAACTTCGAGTCTCTCGAGGCTTTTGTATAAACCTCAGACGTGGAGTGTTTTTCAATTGTTATGACATGAAATAATCTGTGAATACATTTTCAGGACCGTACAGTTAAAAACACAAGAACAAATTCCTTGCATGCTAGCAGATCATTAAGAAAAGGCCTGAGTTATAACCTTTTGATATTATAACACCGTCATGTCATCTATACAAGTTTCTCATGTCTGAAACTTACGGTTTTCACTATCAACTTCGTTGCAATGCGTGAAGAGTTTTTTAAGAGGTAATTTTATTTTGAATAGACAACCAACACAAACACATCAAACTTTTTCACGAACGTTAAAAGCAAATAAAATAATTAAGATTCATAAAACTAGCTTTCAACTGGTTATCAATACAATTAAATAACCAGTCAGAAATCAAAATATTTATTCAAATTTAGAAAATTTTTGCTGCAAAACAGGCACTTCTTTTACGTGTTGGTTGAAGATATCCTAATGATGAACTAAGATATACTTATCACAATTGATTCAATTTTCTCCAAAACGTTTCGGTGTTTTTCCAATGTCATCATTTTCAAATTGTGGGCTTTTTTAGAAAAACTTATTTATTAGTTATATTATTTATTAGCACAGCCTGTCATTACTAATTACTAAAACACTTTAAAATTACAATACACTAAAACATTACAAAATTATTATGACTAAAGGCAAGGAATCAGGATAATAAAATTCGGGAGAAGAACAGATTTTCACATTTTAGAATTTTAATATATTATCTTACTTACTCGTGTAGGCAGTTGTTGCTACGCCAGGTTTGGAACTGATATATGGGTATATTAATGCTTGTCCATTTCGGAACAAAAAAACGAAAAAACTGTTTATATTTAATTTTTTCTTTCCCTATTTTTCTTTTGCATTCAGCAGAAACTATTTTTGGTTTGCTTATCTTACAATATACTGGATGTTAATCTTTCATGTTTCTTTCATTTTTCAATTAATTAATTATTGATATATTGAGCTTAGATTGTCTGTGTCTGATCTAAAACTCATGGCTTTGTTATGTTTTTTGTGTTATATATTTTTGGAACAGTATTTTTTGCGCTGAAATGGACAAGCATTAATATTCCCATGTATTAGTCCCAAACCTGGCGTAGCAACAACTGCCTACACGAGTAAGATAATAATTTAAAATTCTAAAATATGGAATTATGTTCTTTTCCCAAATTTTATGGTCCTGATTCCTTTTCTTTAGTATTAATAATTTTAGAATGTTTTAGGGTATTGCAGTTTTAAAGTGTTTTAGTAATTAGTACCTAATGACAAACTGTGTTAATAAATAATATAACCGCTTTTAGAAAAAAAGCTCACAGTTTTAAAGTGGTCTTATATTTCATGTAACAACTGGTTGTTGTAGACAAACTGGTGATATTGGAAAAACTCCGAAACGTTTTTAAGAAAATTGAAAAAATTGTGATCTAACTAAATGACTGAATCCCAGGAATATTGTTTATATTAAAATTGGAATTACAGTCAGGAAAACGTAGATGATGTATCCAATGTCTTTAGTCTCATAAAAAGCTGTAAGTTCGGAACGTAACAAAATCTGTTCAAAACATTGTTCATAATGACAAATCAAAGATTTTAATTGTTTTTCCGGTAAATGTGTTTCTTTTCACGTATTTAACTTACACAATTCGAAAAACTCTAGATCAACAAAACTGTTAAACCCGTTCTCCATTTCTTGATACACTAAGTCCAAAATTTGAAACAACTTCTCCAACATTATACGTTTTTTTTTTGGCTCAAAACTTGTATCCTATTATTCCAGTATTTTTAAGTTTTTTCCCTTTTTGTTAAAATAATTTTTAAACTCGATACATTTGTTCACACAGAACCCAGTATCATTTGTCTTGCTCTGTTATAAATTGAATAGGTTATGGGAGAAAGAAATGGGATATGTTTCTCGCACTTTCACTTGTAGCCCCCCAATTGTTCAGCCATTACGGCAGCACCGCTAGAGCTTTGTGCAACTAATTTGCCAT